CAGTGGCCATGCCCAAAGCATGTGCTCCAATGCTCTTTCAAATTTATGGCATTTCCAGCATGGAAAGTGTCCACCATGATCTTCTAAATATCTATTCAGAAGCAACGCCCCGACCCAATTCCACCTGTATCCTAAGACTCGCCATAACATTCTAGTTTTTAAAATGTTAACTACTTTCATTCCATTTCCATGGCCTTTAATTTGGCCATTAGGTACCGTAAGTGTTTTGCTTAGTGTCCAAGGATGGCAAGCATATTGTATACCTTGATAACGTTTGTGTGCAATGAAGATAATCATCAGGCAAGGCTGCATCATGCTAGTGTGGCCCTCATCCCGACTTTCTTGGCCACACTTGCAAACACCCTGGTCAGCCTGGACTTCCTGATGCAACGTTCAGGATGAGAAGCAAAATTCCGCTCGAGAACTTTGTTTGCACAATCTGCTTACCAAGTCTAATGACAGCTTCCACAACTGACCCACTTCCCTGAATTCTCATGACAGACTAATCAGAATCAGTGAGGTAATTTTGCACAACCTAAAATGTGGTTGCCTTATTGGTAGCTCTGTGTACCTTGAGAAACCAGTCTGGACCAGTTCTTCCCTAGGAGAAATCAACAGGAGGCCAGTCGGATCGGTGGCTGGATTGTGTCCCAGGCAGGAAACTGTTGTGGAGTCTTTTCTGTGATCAGCTTTGGCCTTCTGACTTGCACACACAAGATTTTACCTGGCCACCCCTATGTGACAAGCAGACCTTAATGTCATCCCCAAGGCTTTCCTATCCGACAAAAAGTATTCAGGATGAGTTTGATCAACCACCAATACATTCATAAAAATGCATTTATGAAGGATGTGAAAAAGAAGGACCTGTGGGCAGCCAGGACCTTCATCTAGACTTTGCCTGCTCCAAAGTCCCTTCCACCTCTGTTATTCTGTTAACATCTTACCCTGCGGGGTTCCATGCTCTGAAAAGCATCTTCGCTAAAAGCATTAGACTAAGTGGTCTAATAAAGGCGCTGCTCCAGTAAGAGTTGTTATTTGTCCCGAGTAGCATAGCTCCTACTGTTCTTAAAGTCTTCTGGAAAATACCACATGTAGTCGTATAGCAGTGAAGCTCTATACCAAAGAAGGAGATCTGGGCAGAGTTCTCCAAAAGTGCCATGATCCCATTCTAGGTATCTCTACCTCCGTTGGTTTTGATTGACTTCTACTACCTTGTGGAACATTGTAGATCATCTCCTTCCATGAAGGCTGCTCAACTCACCTGGTTCCCTTGGCCAAGCAATCTGTGCCCACCACAAAGGATGCAAACAGATATATTTTGGACTTTCAAAAATTCCTGGGGGGGAAATGGGGATCAAAAATTATTTTTGGGTTTCTCCCTAGTGAAAACCTAGCATCAGCTTGAGTCTAATAAGATGCCATTAAGTTCTGTCTGAGAACGTAGTGAGGTATCCTGATGGCTTGATTTCGATTCTTAACCCTTTTTGGCCAATGGAGAATTTTGTGGGATGGAAATGTTTGTAGCTATCTTGTGACCTGTGTGTTTTGCTTGTTTTGTTTTGTATATATTTATTTTCTTATTTAGCTATTAGATTTATGTATCACCCATCTCATCTATTTGCCTAAAACGGATTGCTTCAAGAAGGCTGATGAATTGCAGACCTTCCTGCAGATCTTCAGTGTGGAGGGTCAGGTCAGAACTGTAACCTGCCAAAGACTCTGACTAAATAAAGGTCTCTGACTACATGGGATCTGACTAAAAAGAAATGTGTGGTGAGATGCACATTGTGGCCCCAAAAGTTTTCCTGAAGTTGTTCCAGCAACTGTGCATCAACATGTGATGGTGTTTTGTTTTGTTTTTTTGCTGCAACCAGTCCTGAACAAAACACAGCAGAGTAATTTTTACAAAGGTCATTAAAATTTAAATTATTACCATTAACAAAGCTGTGTGATGTAACAAAGCTAAAATTAAAAAAACAGGTTTGGAGAGTACAAACCCAAAATTAAAAACAGAGTAAACATCTCAAAAATAGAAATTAAAATATGCACCGGATGAACTGAGAGATTCAAGTGCAACCAGGGGCAGCTTCATGTCTCTCATAGTTTTGCCAGCCAGAATGGCAAAGAGGAGAAACTTTCCCACCAAGTGCCAGGATTGTGCGTTGGCTGCAACAGGTTTACTCCATCACAGTGGTTTTCAAATTTGGCAACTTTCAGATGTGTGGATTTCAATTCCCAGAATTCCCAGCTGTTGATGTCTATACATATTAAAGTTTGCCAAATTTGAAAAACTCTGCTCTGTCCTATCAAAGCAGCCACAATAGTTTCTGACAAAGAATCTTTAAAAAAAAAGATGCAGATGTTATTCTGACCACTCAATCACTTTTCCTCTCCTATTTCTCTCATCCCTGGGAACTAGGAGGTAATGGCAAACCACTTCCGAAAAAACCTCCTAAGAAAACTCCAGGGACTTTTTCAGCCAGTCTCTTAGAATCGACATGATTGACTGGAAGGATGGGGGAAAAAAAACCCTACTTTAAAACTGAAATAAAGCTGACCTGAACAGAAGAAGAGAACATGATTCGGCCTACCTAGCCGGCATTCTCTCTCACGCAGGGTGGTCAACCAGTGGCCTACCAAGAGGAGATCCAGGCAGGTCCTCACCCGCTGTGGTTCCCCTGGATGTGGCATGTGGAGGTGGGCTGCCTGTACCTATGGGCAGGTCCAGTCCTCAAGCTTTGCAGCCACTGAGGGGCCTGTCCCCAAGGAGCTGGTCTGGTCTCCTTTGGAAGCCCACTGAATCAGCAGCGAAGCCCAGATCCCATGGCATTGCACACTGGGTGGAGAAATACTTCCCCTTATCAGATTTAATCTTCTCCTAGTCAGTTTCCTTGGGTGGCCTCCAATTGTAATACAATAGCAGATGGAGAAAAACCAGTTCGTTCTTTTGCCCTCCGTCTGTTGTACACATTCACACCTTGCTGACTGGCCTTAAAAACAGCCTGGAGTACGGAGGAGTGTCCAGCTTGGGAACTGACGCTGCTTCCTCAAGTGGGGCCTCATTCTGGCCACGGGAACCCGCAGGTCTCCTTTGGGACACACACCCATATTGTGACCCGGCCAGGTGGATGATTCCCTTGGAGGGTTTAAGGAAATAATTGTTGTTTATTGCAGCTGCACCTGACACCGAGGCTTGAGATGCTCAGTCTCCTAACCAGTCCTGCGCAATTTGACACCAGCATTCCTTCGCCAATGGAAAGGGATGATGGGAGTTGCAGTCATCTGCTGTGTCTCCTAATGGACAAGAGCAAGCGAGTCTGGAGATCTGGAGAGAGAAGGTCTCCGAGAGCTGCTCAGCTGAGCCAGCCAAATGCCCGGGAAAGAGGGTTTCCAGAACAAATCACTACTTAACCTTTGCAGGCTTTTTCCCAGCTCAGGCTGATGGGCCTGTAGTTTCCTGGATCCATTTCTTCCATGGAGCTAACCCTTTTGTGAAGTCCCTCCCAGCCTGCGCCCCAAAATGTCAAAGCAAAATGCCAAAAATCAGTGTTGTGTTTACTTATGAAGACAAGTCAGTATCTAACTAAATAGGTTTAATAAGTTTCCAGTAGGCTTCACCACCTGTTTTATTTAGGACCAGAGGAAGTTTCATCTTGAGCTCCTTGGAAACATTACAGGGCCCTCAACTGTTTTGGTATTTTTTCCTTGCAGACCTTTCGTGATTCAGAAATGTTCTCAGATCGCAGCTCCTGCTTAAAATCTCCCATGTGAATTTTGAAGACATTCAGCAATGTTACTTTCCTGTGCTCTTGGTTTGCTGAAATACCCAAACTCTTCTCAACTTCCATTTCTTCCTGACTGTGAGGCTTCTGGGGCACATTGATATTTAGTTGCCTCCCTGCTTCCTTCCACCCACACAATATTTCCTGTGCAACTGGCTGCCACACAACTCCAAAGTATGATAGAGCAACCCCCAGGCTCAACAATTGACAAAGTCTTCTTTTCTTCAACTCTCACTTTTCCCCCCCTCCAAATGTGTCGTGAGTAGTTGTGGCTGAACAGTTTGATTCTTGTCTCATCAGTCCAAGGCACTTTGTTCCAAAACATTTCAGGCTTATCATGGTTTTCTCTTGCATGTTTGAGATCGGTGTTTCTCCACTTCAGCACTTTTAGCATGGGTGAAATTCAGCTCCCAGAATTCCCCAGCCAGCATTTCCCCAGCTTGACCTCAACTTTTCCATGTAACGTCCATTTCTTAATTAGGTTTCTTACAGTTGAAACTGCTAGCTGGCAGCCAGGAAACTTTTAGAGCTCTCCCCTGTTTGGCAAGAGAGAATTACATTCATTTTTCAAGCACTCAGGGAATGTTGATGGTTGTCAAAAGTAGTCAGAAACATCTGGAAAATTACAAGGATCAGGGTTCCCGTATGGAATTGCCTTCTCCTGTCTAACTGTAGGCCCAATCAGTCAATCATCTTTGGCTGCAAAGTGAATCCTTTTCTAGTCACGCTGCACTTACAACACACACTTTCCTATTTTAAATATGTAAACAATGCACATAAATGATAAGTAAGCATTCAAATTTGCAGAACAAAAAAATTATATCCTAGAGAGGCTGGTCAGATCACTGAAACATACCACTTGTTTTGCATGTAAGAGTAATTTGACTGGTTGTTTTGGTTGTGGTTTACAGTGATGTGTCATCCAACTACAGTATGAATGTCGCCATTATAGTCTGTGAACTGTGGTCCATGGCTTACTCTGCTGTATGAAGCAAGCCCCTGTGGCTCATCCAACCACAGTTCACACCATCACCCTGGAGGAAGAAGGGCGCTGGTACGTAACACAACACGTGGCTTTGGGCCAAGCTCCCTTCCTCTCTCAGCCTCCCGGAAAAAATTCTCTTCTCCGTTACACAAACTGCTGCTTCGTGTCCAGCCTGAACCTTTGCAATTCAAGGGAAGAGGTAGGATTGCAATGAGACACAGAGAGCCCAAACATTTGCATAAAGAGTTCCTTATTTAATTTATAGCCTTCCTTTAAAAAAAAATACAACGAAGTATTATGAAAAGTGTATTTCACTCATTTAAATATCTATTAACTCAGCGTATTAAGGAAGAAACAACAACCAATCACATAAACATCTTACACGAATCAAATTAATTTATCCACACAATAAATTAAAATATTAAATAGCAACCTTCAGTGCAACATATTCAGAAGAAAAAAGTGTAACCTTGGCTAAAAATAAAACTTCAGTTTGGTTATGGACCAAACTAAACTTAAATTGTGAAAAAGGACAAAATGTTAACTTGGAGTCAACACACAAAATGGGGAAGGAAGAGGCATTTAGTGGCTGATAATTCAGCATAACTCAAATGCACTTAAGATGAAAAAAGGGCTCTTTTGCTTTAGCAGAAACCTTTCATTTGAGAATTTTAAACCATTTTTCTCCCCCAAAGCCTTGTTACTTCTACGCTCAGCTTAGTGTCGATCAATTCCATGAGTCCGGGTCGCATCAGATTAAACAATTGCTAGCTGAAAGGGGGCCGTTTATTTCTAAACAGCATCACAGAACAGAAACCCAGAGAAGAGCAGAAGGTTGCCTTCAGTGGAGGCGCTTTCCTCCCTTGGAAAGGGGGAGAGCATCCTGTCCTGGAGAAACTGCTTTGCCATTCGAAGTATCAAAAGCGTAATACAGGAGAAATGCAACCGAAGCCCTCCGATGCTGGAGCTCCTGAACCAGGTCTGGTAGGAATCCAGCTTTCCTTAGGGGCAATTATCAACTGAGCAAATGTACATTTTCTTTAGCTCTCTGGCTCTAACTTAAGTGGCTTTGATTATGCCTTGAGGGGTTGTGCAAAAGCCGTGCTTTTTGGAATCCCTTTCTTCCTTCTTTACTTATTTGAGAAACTCCCAATCTATAGATTGGTTGTTGAGAAGCAAGGCTAGGAAAGAAGGGGGGGGGTTTAAAAACCAAATTATTTCCCCTTTGAGGAAAGCCAAAGAGGGAATGCCATTATGATAAGGGCAGAACAAGAATCGACCCACTAAAAATAACGGAAGCATTTGTCAGCCAGACGACTTGAGGAACAAAACCAATTGGTCCCCATTTCATTTCTTTGTCACATGGCCACAAAGTTTATGGCACGAAGCTCCCGTCGACATGCCAAGCCATCTGTCTGGGGAAATGGAACCTGAAAAATCAGGAGAGTCGGCAAATATATCTTCTTTCCATCAGCGAAGGAAAGAAGGTGAAACTGGTGCTTTGGCTTGCATGCAAATCAGAACTAATGGTTGGCCAATTCAGAATGGCTTCCTGAGGCATCTCTCAGATCTATTACCATCTCTCTCACTGGAAACCAGGCCATTGGTCTCCACTGGGCCAGGCCTCTAAACCTCCACGCAACTGCCAAAGGCCCAGTTCCCTCCACCTCAGGAGCTTCTCGACCTTGGTGAGAAGAACTCAGCTTCCAAGGTTCTCTGGGACTCATGGAATGCCCCCAGAGCTCACACTTGCACAGGCTTTCCCAGAACTACCTCACTCTTGGAACCAAACCCTTATGTTGTGCCCGGAGGGGGGGGGGGGGGAGGTCAAAACATTCAAGCACCCACACAATTGTGGAATATTGTCCCCAGTCCTATGGAATGTTTGTGACTTGGAGGAATCGTCTATCTCCCAAGACATTGCAATAGTTAGAAGCATGTAAACCCAGAAACGGTGCAGCGTTTTAAAAACACCTCTGCTAAATATTGATTTTTAGTAAACTTCTCATCTAGCTCAAAGGTGTTTACGTCAGTATTACAAACAAGCCCAGATGCACCTCTTTCAACACCCCATTCCCACCTGTCATGTAATAACTAAGGCTTCTGTGGTCTGTTTTCTTGTTGGAAAAAGGTAGCAAAGCTGCCACCAAGTTACCCAGAGACCCCGGCCGAGGAGGCAACAGGGATTTCCCACTTGGACAGGAGCCAAGACTCAGAAGGAGGGAAGGAAGGGGAAGCACTTCTGCTCTCACCTGGCACCAGTCTACCCTCCCCCACAATGGTTTTTTCCCCTCTTCCCCAAACAGGATACTACAAACACGGACAAGGCTACTCGTCTTGCAGTTTTTCTACTTGCGGCTGAACGGTCACAGGGAGGGTGGTGCTACCCCCAGAGGCCCAACGGGGAGCATCCTTCCGCTGGAGAGGAGTCAAAAGATGCAACAGATATGCAAAGCCAAGCCAGCCCTTCAGGTGACGCTGGATCCGGCCTCCATTAAATAGATCTTTTCCAAGAAAAACCAGGCACATCCCGCGAACAAGCTTGTCCTTTGGTGCTTATGGTAAATGTAAAGCTGCCGATTGTCGCTCTTCTCTATTTCGATTAAAAAGAAGTCTTGGAGATTTGCTGGTGGTCACAAACCACACGTAAGTTTACTCAGAAGCTGCACTGACCACGCGGTTCCTTCAGCAAAGTTCTGGACGCCCAGCGTTATGGGGGAAGATCCGGAGAAGGCCTCAAAAGTTGCACTAGATTGGCTTTCTGTTTAAGTCCCTGGAAACTGTCTTGTCCATATTAAAGTTTTTCTCAGAATATCGTAGGCCTCCCAGGTAGAACTCTGCGCTGTTCCCATCTGTGGTCGCTGTCAGACAACTGCAAAACAAGCAATGAGGTCAGTCCACACCACAAGAAGCCTCTTTAGTTTGGACTGCAAGGCAGGGGCGCAGCAACAGAATACTGACCACACAACGGGGGGGATGATCACCACAACTTCAAAAGGGATGATTTAACAGGACCACAGAGTTGGAAAAAGGACCTTGGAGGTCTTCTAGTTCACCCGCCTTGCTCAAGCAGGAGGCTAGACAGGCCTTCAGCCGAGACCACCGACTTTCCCATTCAAAAAGGATCTAACCTCTGAAGGACGTTGGGTGGAGCAGAAGGAGAAGAAGATGAGGCCGCTTTATTCACCTCCTTCCCCGGGAATTGTTCATTCAGTGTGTTTTGAGGACATGGATTTGGGACGCCTATTTTTCATACTAGGTGTTACAAACCAGGCTTCTGTCCAGTGGTGGAATTCAAATTTTTTTACCACCGGTTCTGTGGGTGTGGCTTGGTGGGCGTGGCTTGGTGGGCATAGCAGGGGAAGGACACTGCGAAATCTCCATTCCCACCCCACTCTGGGGCCAGCCAGAGGTGGTATTTGCCAGTTCTCTGAACTACTCAAAATTTCTGCTATCGGTTCTCCAGAACCTGCTGGATTTCACCCCTGCTTCTGTCTCTGTCTCTAATCCATCCTTCTGGGTCAGCTTTCTCTTGAGCCAAGTGTGACTCCTGGGAATGCCACCAATACTTTCTCAGCAGAGTTATGGGAGGGGGCTCCCCTCTGAGGGCCTTCCTGACTTCCCATCTGGCCTTGCAGCTTCCGGGCCATGAGTGAGTAGACTTGGCCCTGCTTAGCTTTTAAGATCAGCCAAGATGTTCAGGTGCCCGGAGCCCTCCGAGGACTTCCCATCGTTCAACTGAAGGCAGGGGTCCTCTTCACAGAGAGGCTGGAGAGAGTCCCCCCCACCCTCCATACACACACCCAGCAAACTTTGCGCTCTCGTCTGGGACACTGGCCCAGATCCTCAGGGCTCTCCTCTCCCAGCATGTTCCCTTCTGCTTGCAAAGCCAGAATGCTCAAGTGCCAACCTACTTCCTTTGCTCAAGCCAAATAGAAGAACCAGGATTTTATTGTCTGAAATTACAAACGCCAGATTGGCACAGATAATGTTGATTTACCTGTCTCTGAGTGGCAGCAAGACGTGGCCCCCTTCAGCAGCCCGGTGGGTTTCTCATGCCGGCAAACCATCGTCCTGCACCACTCGCAGTGCTTCCGTATCCTGCAGCAACTGCACAAACACACACAATGGTGGGTTAATCGAACAAAGTTTGGGCCAAGAACGGGAATGGCTGGCAGGCAAGGAGGGAAAGGAAGGAGCAGAGAATCACTTTCTGGAGCAGAAACAATGGGGGACTTGTTGGGAGGCAGCCTCGGGCGGGGGGGGCTGGGGGCACGTGGCTTCAACCTGTCTGAACCAAGACTTGTGTGCAGGGTCCCGTAGAAGCTCAGATTCACACCAGAAATGGACCACCGTCCCTCAGTCAGTCAACGGCATGGAAGCCCTTCAGTCCAAGACTGGAATCCAAGTCTTGTCAGCAGCTTTTCGGCTAACCCAATACTGACAGCCAATATGGTGGGCTGACCCCAAAACCCACCATCAAGAATTAGGCTGAAAGGCACGGCAGGTGGCGGCCGAGGCCAGGAGGCCCTTTGCCCAACTTCGCGTTGTGTGCCAGTTACGCCCTTTCCTGGATAGGGAGGCTCCATCACTCAGGCCCTTGTCATCCCCTGTTTGGACCATTGCGATGCACTCTATATGGGGCCACCCTTGAAGAGCATCCAGAAGCTTCCAGAGGTACAAAATGTGGCCCCACAGGCCCGAATTTTAGGGGCCCGAAGAAGGGTGCATGTAACACTCAGCTCTGGGAGCTGCACTGGGTTCCGGTTTGCTTCCGGGTCCAGCTCAAGGTGTTGGTTGTGTCCTATAAAGCCCTACATTGCCTGGGCGAGGCTACCTATGGAACCGGGTTCGCCCCATCACACCGGCCTGCCCCACCCGGTCAGGCAGGGAAGGCATGCTGCAGACCCCATCAGTCGAAGAATTTCAACCGGGGGGGGGGAAATCTAGGAAGAGGGCATTCTCTGCCATTACCTGCACCTTATGGAATATCCCCCCCCCCCCCCCCGCCCGGAGGTGAGGCAGGCCTTCCCCCTTCTCCTGGCCTTCTGCAAAGGAGTTGAGACGTGGCTCTATGGCCTTGCATGGAGAGCCCAAGGGAGCACCCAGCTGGGGGGCTCCCTTCGCCTTCCTCAAGCAGTTTTTAACAGGATTAAACTGCCTTCTGAAACATTTTCCTGCCAATTCAAAATTTCTTCCAATTTAAATTTCTTAATTCTAAATAGCAATAGCACTTGATCCATCTGTCCATTACCCTTTGCTAAACATTTTAGGAGAAGCAGAAAGTGAGAACAGGGCTGTTTTGTGCCCTTTGGAGCTTATGAAACGTTACTGACAATCACAGACTGGGTTTTAGCAGTAATAAGCATTGCGGCATCTCACACAGCCACACCTCCTGGCAGAATTGGAACTTCTGAGTATAAAGTCAGATTTCCAACTAGGAGCTTGTGACTTCAAGGAGAACGGACCAGCAGCCAGGGCCCAAGCAGAGGGCAACCAAGCGTTCATTTCATGCAATGATGTGCACAAAATATTCCGAGTTCCAAATCCTCCTCTGCAATTGTGACACAGGCTCCCCTGAGAGCCAGGCGGGCTGTTTGAAGCCTTTCGGGAGGTTCTGAGCTCAAAAGGGCTGCTTCGCCTTTCAGAGCCCGGCCTCAAGCTTGAAAGCTGCGTCTGCAGCTGTTTTGCCCCCCAAGCAGCTGAATTTAGAACCAGCTGCATGTAGCCCCCTGCCCCTGCTCCCCCCAAGCACATTTTAGTCTCAAATCAGGGAATCTACTGGATTCAATGTAGGCAATGCTTGGGAAGGCAATGGGACAGTAGTCTGCCAGATGCTGCCTTCCTCCATGTCAATCCCCCCTTCTCCTCCACCCTAACAATGGGGGGGGGGATCTGCCCTGCGCCGAAGGAGCCCTCCTGGCCTGGAGCTCTTGCAAAGAGGTTTCAGCAGATGCGGATTCAAGCCAGCTCTCCGTAGAATTATACTTACTGTATCAGGACGCAGACCATGACAACGCCGATGGAGGCGACGATGGAAACCACCACCAAGGCGGTTATGGTTTGCTTCTTCTGTGTGGCAGCCACCACTGCTAGGAGGTCGGCGTGCTCGCAGCGGGCTCCTATGTACCCAGAATGGCACCTGGCAAGGAAAACAGAAGCCAAAGCCTCATTTTAGGAGGGGAGGGAGAGAGGGAGGGGGGGAGGACCACCGGCTCAGTTCGGGCCAACTGAAGTGAGATCTGGCTGCCTTTGCTGGCCAAGGACGGCCTACAGCAGAACGCAAGAGGCTTTGGAGGGGAACCGGCCCCACTGCAGCTCCGTGTCCAAAGCCCGGTTCAAGCACCAGGATGGCTGTTTGTGCAGCCGGAGGATCCACCCAGCGAGGGAGAACCCACCACCTGCTCAAGCGGTGGAGAAGCGTTTGCCATCAGAGCTGCCCTCAACCTCACCACCTTTTTATGAGCCTCCATTTCTGTGTGGGCTCATCTCCTCTGCTCAGTCTTTTTAAACTTTAGAACCATGGAGTCACAGGGCTGGAAGAGACCTTGGAGGTCTTCTAGTCCAACCCCCAACCCATGGCAGGAGACCTGATATCATCCTGGACAAACGGTTGTACGGGATGCTATAATCCAGATGTTGAAGGTTTATTGCCTAGGTGGTGTTTCTCACCTTAGCAACTTTAAGAGGTGTGAACTTCAACTCCCAGAATTCCCGAGCCAGGAATGGAGGAATCACGGGAGTTGAAGGCTACACTTCTTAAAGTTGCTAAAGTTGAGAGGCCAGGGGCCAGCCCAGCTTCAGAACACCAGAGTTGGAAAATCTGATCTTGGTTGAGAAGCCGGTTCTGCTCCTGCCTCAAAGACAGATCACGGCAATCTTGTTCAGCTGGAGGCTGAGAATCTTGGGTGATCTCAGGAAACATCCAATGCCAGGGGTCTTGCAAGGGGTCCGATGCAACAGGCGTGCAAGTCCTCCTGTGCATCCACAAATACACAGACGCTGTTTCCCAGGGCAAGGAAAGCAGGAGCCAGGCTGCTCCCTTTCTTACGAGGCAGGAGCTGAACCGAGAGAGAGAGAGGGGGGGGGAAGGGGTTCCTGCTCCCCAGAAGGAGGGGCACAAGGGGAGGGGAGAAGGAAGGTACCAGGTGGTCAGAGCAATGTTTAATTATCTTCTCAATTAAGAGTTTCTCAAGGAAAAGGCTGGACAGATGTTCCAACTGGAGTGTTAACTTTTGGTGCACGTAGATAAATTAACTTGCTGAAGGAACATTACGCCAAATTCCCCAGCACTGTTGGGCCGTTTCTGCTCTGGGACACCGAGTTCAGCAAAACTCCCCCTTTAGAGTGCAACGGCTGCAGGTAAGCAGAGGTTCTCAGGAGACCCTCGTTCCCTCCTGCAGGGCCCCGGCCAGCAGGGAGGCCTCCTGCGCCCAGAGGCCTCTTTGCCCCCGTTGCTCTGTCCCCCCACAGCCGGAAAGCCTTGGGCTGCTCCTGCGCAGGCGTTTCAAAATGCAAAAATAAACACTTACACACAAGTGGGCTCTTCTTCTTGCACCAGGAATCTGCAAGTCCCATGGAAACAAAAGGTGCTGTGGGCATCTGGACAGTTGTTAAAATGGGATCGCACTGCAGCTGCCACGGGGGGATCTAAAAGTCCAAGAGGATTGATTAGTTTTCACATCTGCATTGGGACATTCAGAATATCTTTAAAAAGGCATTCCAACCTGCTTTCTTGGGTCAGTTTCTTCAGAATATTTTCAGAACGTTTTATTAAAGTGTACTCTATGATAAACTGTGAGGTTTCTTATTACGCCCATTTTACAGGCAAGAAAATAAGACCGTGTGAAACCCCAGCAAGGCCAAACCATGATTGACCTATGACAAAGAGGGACTTCAACCCAAACACTAGATGAAGGTCCTCTCTTCTATGCCAAGAAGATCCCCATCTATCCTTAAAACACCGTTGTTGCTGCTGCTGCTGCTGTTCCCCCTCCAGGATCTGCGGCCGGGAATAAACAACATTCTGCTGCTTATAATGGACTCATATGTTCAAGTGTCAGCATCATACAAAACGAAGACTTAAATGTAAACCAGAATCAAATCATCATCATCACCACCACCACAGGGCTGCATTTTGGGCACCTGGCAACCTGTTCACACGTACAGCCAGTTGCCAGGCTCCTCGCAATCATGTGGAAGTCAGTGGGGAATTGCAGGCGGTTGTTGCCGCCTGCCGAGTGGACTCCGCTCATCTCTGGCAACCGGCTGAAAGAATCGCCTGCCGAGGGAGCAGACCCGGAACCCCGTTCCTGCATCTCACGGAAGGAGGGCGGCTGATGTCCTTCGGAGGCAGCTCCTTCGGCCACCCCAAGAGACAAGAGGGACAAGCAGAGTCTGGGCTCCCCAGCAGAGAAGCCCTGGGAGAAGGGAAGGAGCTTCGGGCCAGCCATGAGCATCTCTTCACTCACGGGCTGAAAACCCTGCATGGATTTTGATGGGGAGGATTTTCGGCTCCTGAGCAGCAAGGCTGCCCAGTAAAGAAGGGAGCCACGGGGCATCTCAGGGCGGGGGGCTTGGGGAGGCTGGTGCAGCCACCCATGGGCGTCTTTCCCTCCAGGGCTGAAAATCCTGCATGGATTTCAGCAGGTGCCACTTTCAGCTTCCCAGGGTTTCAGCCACCCTCCCAGAGGCGCCACCGTGGACTCCTTGCCTGGGGCTCTGAATGGCATATTATCATCCATAATGACCACAATCAAGAATGCCAGGATTGCAGCCATTGAGTGAAGCAGTCATGTGGGCAGTCACGTGGCACCTCGCTTAACAACCACTTCACTCAACAATGGAAATTCTGGTTCAGGCTGTAGTTGCTAAGCAAGGACTTCAGGGAACAGGGAAAATGTCCTGATATTCCGCCTCTTGGAAGGCATGATGTGCATGAAGAGCCCAGAGGGAGACGGAAGACGCCCAAGCAGGCCCCACAGTCCAAACCCCCTTTTCATTTTCTCTTGCCTGCCTGGAGATCCGGCTACGAGATGCTACCGTGAGGGGTTCAACTTCAGCATCCCAGAAGCAGGAACAGCTGCTGAGCCCAGGAAGGAACTTGGCCATATTTTTCTCAGGCCGGTGGGCTGAGAAAGAATGCACTGCCATCAAACCACATCCATTTGCAGGAAGAGGCTAATGGAGCGTGACATCAGTCCCAGCCTTGGAAACCATCTGTCTTGAAACTGCCTTCTGAATCACTTCCATCCTCAGCGCTGCTTTCCACATCAGCTCTCCCGGCTGCCCTATCAGGAGCTGCCTTCCAACCTCCAGGCGCTGCCGTGAGTCACGCACGCCGTTCCCTTGGCGGGCATTCCTTAACTCCTCATGAGACACTCCAGCAGGTGCAACCAGGTGTGTTATACAATCACCCCAAAGTTGCACCAAGCTTCATATTTCACGGGAAGAAACCTGCCCTAGGTGGATTCTGAGAACTTGAGCACTGTTGGTGGGTGGCTCTGCCTCCCTTTTTATTGTCCTCGACAACCAGGAGAGGCAAACCTCAGCCGAGCAGCCTTTGGCCAGCACATGTGCAGCAGCCACAGCCGAATTCCAAAATGCTCCAAGTTGCAGATCAGAGGCGTCTGCAGTCGGAAATCGCTCAGTGCTCGGTGGCGATAATTTCTGAAGCCTAAATTCTTGACTTCCGGATTCCAAGGGGGAACGGCGTTAAATCTTTTCTGCTGGGAACAACAAAGGCTTCGCTGCAGCCTTTTAAAAGCGATCCCATCTGTCATTTTATTTGATTGACTGTGGTTGTCCCACTCCAAAGGACTCCCACTGCACAAGCTTTCATAGACTGCAGCCAGTTTCATCAGACACATCCAGAACACAACTTAAAGCAGCAAAAGACTCAGAAATCGAGAATTCTCCTTTCGGTCCCATTTTTGGCTCTTGCAAGCGAGGAAAGGGGAAACCCAACGGTTTCAAGCATCCTTTCTCTTCCAGAAACTAAGGCACACCAGCTAAATTAAACATATAGAGAAAGTCCTGGACTTATGACCTCAATGGAGCCCAACATTTCTCTTGTTAAGCAAGTCAGTTGTTAAGTGAGTTTTGCCCCATTTTATGACTGTTTTGCCCCAGCTGTTAAGCAAACCACTACAGTTGTTAAGTGAATCCTGCTTCCTCCATTGATCTTGCTGATCAGAAGCTGCCGAGTGCCTGGATTTTAATCCCGTGACCCGCAACAGTTGTATGAGAAACATTCATCAGGTCACTTTTGTCAGTGCCATTGTAACTCTGAATTGTTGAGGACACCTGTCCTACCCTCGGCCACGCCGCAGTCTGGTCTGTCCTGCTCCCAAACCCCAGACCAGGATACATTTGTCACAGCACTTCACCTTACATCAATTTATCTAGTAGTTTATAGTGATTTAATAGTCTACCTCAGTGGTTCTCAACCTTTTCCTCCACCACGGACCCCCTTTAAGTACATTTTGTGGCCACGGGACCCCCAAGGCTTAACCCAAGATTCAAATCGTAACGTTTCTTCCAGCCTTCGCAGACCCCCCGTGATGACATCACAGATCCCACAGGTTGAGAACCTTTTTCTCCAGGGATACAAGACCAGGCAAGGAATCAACCCCCCCCGCCCCCCCACCCCCACTGGCGGCCGTGTCTTGGCTGCTCCCATTTTATATTGCAAAGGGTGAGGATTAGCCTCCCCTTCCTCGGGAATTGGGACAGTGTGTGTGTGTGTGTGTGTGTGTGTTGGATTCCTACTGCTTAATTTTCATTCAGAAGAGGTTCCCTTCTGCCTGTCCCCAGCCCCAAATGTTCCCCTGGCCCTCCCCAGAGCGCTTGCAAACTGTATCCTGCCTTGTCAACTAACCCCTCTGGAAATCTCGGTTCCATTTCAAAGCCTCCTCAAGTTCCTGTTCCCATTAAGGGAGAGCAGACCAGGCAGCAAAATTAATTGAAGCCATTTCCTGGACCCGGCTCAATGTCGCCTGGAAGAGATTATACGGCTTTGAAACGGGCACATTTGAAACTCGAAGTGCTTCCTTGCTCTGACTCCGGCGGAGAACCCAAAGGTGCTAAAAAGCCCAGGCAGCGTAGCCACACGGGGCCATCAAAGGTGGAGGAAGGAGGTATTTTTCCACTCCAGAAACCTAATGGGAGGATGAAAAATTAGCCCAAGGATGGACTCGGGTTAATATTTATTTGTTTTTATCTATTTTTCACATTTTTGAACCATCCACCTCCTTCAGAGAGGGTCTTTTAGGGGAAGGGGGTGTACAATAAAATGTTAACATATAAAAATAATATAAAGGTTAAGACTTTAGAATTTAGGAGGTGGCAAGGATGCTTAAACTGTTAAAAGGCGAAGGGGGGAGTGAGTCTCAGGGCATCCATCGGCCGCACAGCTGCCTGCTCCCTTGAGATCCCGTTCTCAACTCCTTTGCGGAAGACCAGAAGAAGTGGGGAGGGGGAGAGAGACTATTCCATAGGGGAGGGCTAATGGTAGAGAAGGCTCCCCCAGTCAGAGTTCTTTGACTGATGGGGTCTGCAACATGCCTTCCCTGCCTGACCCACCTGGGACGGGCTGACGTGATGGGACAAATATGGTTCTGTAATATGGAGCTGCATTAAAAGGAAGGGCTTGTAGGAGCCCTTAAAAAACAAGCTTCCTAGCAATTTTGGGTAGAAAGGAAGAAAAAGATTAAAAGACAGAGACCTGCGTCAATCTGCGGACGAAGCTTAGGCCACCTGATGCACTTGCACCAATCTCTCTCTCTCTCTCTCTCTCTCTCTCTCTCTCAGCTCAGCCCACCTCATAGGGTTGTTGTACGCATATTCGGCACTTATAATAGTAATAAAAGCAGGATAAAAAGCTAATAAACAATAAATAAGGGAATAAATATATTGGCTATGCTCTGCTAACCCAGTAAGGGAGCAGCCGGGAGAATAGTTCTGCAGGATACATTCATGCAGTTCATTTCCATGGCCTGAGATAAGTGAGAAAAAGTAACCGTTTAGGAGAAACTTTTAGGCAGGACGGCCAGTGGGAGAACTGAAACAAAGGGAGGAGGTAAGAACTGAAGAGAAGAGAGGAACTAAACCAAGGGCTGTTGGCCAGCAGGAATAAATTCAAATGTTGAAAAAACAACCTGCACATGGTCACACCCACAAAACCACCTGGTTCCCTCCAGAGTCCCCTTTCCAGCCTCAGCAGCTTGTGCTGCACACAGGTGAGCTGGTTTTCCCTTCGCAGCCATCATTTTGCCAGGGAGGAAACAAACGGAGGCATTTGAGACAGCCAAATTGGACGGCAGATGCTCCAGTTAGGAAAAGGCTCCCCTTTCGTTTGCCGATGGCAGTTTCCACCTTGAGGAATTGGCACGGAAAATGGAGACAAACAGCCCCTTTGATGTGGAGGTTGCAGAGCCTCCTATATTTTTCCCCTTCGCATCCAAAGTCAAGCTTAGCTGCTAGAAAAGGCTTTTTATTCAACTGCCAGGAAGGAACTGCCCAACAGACACAGCCTGCTTTTCAACCCGGGGCTGCTGCGTAAATAACCGCGATGCATGAATTGACCCCTTGCAAGTCTCCAAGCCTCCTTCTCTTTGAACCTGGGCAAAGCATGAACCCCCCTTCCCCCC